GTGAACGCGTTACTCCCCGGAAAGGATAATAGCGCGTTCGTTCCCCACCATAGACACCTGCGGTCCAGAGTTTTGCAAATATCTCATCAACGTTGTGGTCATAATGGTAACGTTTAAGGTTTTGTTTTCTGCCTTCTATAATTTTCATGGCAGGTTACTAGGCGAAATACAACCACAACGTTGCTGAGATATTTTGCAAATACTCAACATCTCCTCAGGCACAAGTTCGACTCCATTCCGAACTCACCATGGCTCTCATTCATCCGGGGTCGAGAGATTGGTACCAAAATATTCTGGGATAAGCTGATGATTAGGATCAGAGGTTAATCCACGCGGGAACGCCCCAGCACATTTGTGCCAGGATTCCAGGGGTATTAAGCTTGACGAATATTCAGGCAAGATTCGCGACGACTAGGAAAATCCATAAGCAGCAGCCACAACAAACATGCAAAAAACCAAGTTCTGAGACCTTCATGGATGGTGAATGCGATGAATCGAATCTAATACAATCCTGGCATCCGCGTATTGTCGTACCTATGATGCCATGTCATTTAATAAAAAAAAAAAATGAGAAGACTGGGCACATGTGACGCACTGATTAATGGTACCCTGCATTACACAAGATAGGTCTCGAGTTCGATTCCCAGGCTCACCAAGCCGTCCATCATTAGAGGGTCGGTGGATGGTATCAAACTTATTCGGGAGGATAGCAACTGTGACATGATAGATCGGTAGGCCACCACACGTTAACATATCCCATTTTGGCCCAGCGTCATTCTTAATGGCTGGGCTAATCGAATAAGAGCAATTTTTCGTCGGCTGCGGATTTTTTAGTTTTTTGACGGTAAGAATCCTTTTCTCAATAACTAGAGGGCTTGAGGGTTTCTGAAGATGACTGGATTGTAGGAGAGACTTTGCGCTATGGTTCTATGAGTACGTATGATGTGTATGCTACCCTTTACTATATGTTACTATGGTCCATATTGCAAATGCTGTGATGTTGACATTTGGAAGTATTTTGCAGCTTGTGTTGAGTGTATTTCGGTAGTTTCACATCCAAATTATATACAATAACCCATAGCGGTTAAAATGAAGTAACAGTAAATTCGTAGTCAAGTTATCGATCAATGAACTCTTTCCAAAGGTCTTATGTATATCATTAAGTGTATAGAATGGTCTTTCTGATTTCACCCCTTCAATTTTGATCTGCTTCCGATTAGCTATCGAATTATGCATAATTTGGTTTAAAAAGAAAACTCTAGAGTTTATTAAACAAAATGTGCACACTGTAGCGCTCATACGGTCGTTTGCTCTAAACCACTATAGACACATCAGTGTCCATAAGAGGCAGAATGGAATGTGAGGGCAAATACGCATCCAACTCCACGACACCGGATGAAGCTGATTGCTTGACGCATCACTCCTCAGAGCTTGTTCAGCGGCGGATGCTCTAGATTTCCAATAAGCGAAATCGCAATTATGATGTGCATTTTTACTGCGATCATTGAAGATAAAACATAAAAAGGATAAACCTTTCGACATTGATCAATCCCTGTGAGATGCGCCATGCATTCGACTTCCTTAGGCATCGTTGAAGGTGAATGAATGCATATCTGGCTTTTCCAATGAATCGCAGTGGCCTACCGAAGTGTAGAGTGTGCCGCTATCCTCTTAGACAAGTCTGTTAACAATTTGCCGAACCCGGTGGGATGGAAAGCTTGGTGAGCTTTGGGCGCGGGCTTCGATCCCATGCGTATTGCAGGACGCCTCCGACCACTGCGCTACATGGGCCGCTCATTGAAGATAGGACGTATTTGTGCTTTCAAGCTTACTTCATTTAGGAGAATGGCTTGCTCGACCGTTATGTGACTTGAGGCAAATAACTGAGCGCCAGGATGTTGTTGAAGCACTAGTTAGTAATTCTGAGGTTGGTTTCTTCAAAGTGACAAGATAAACAGAGTGCTATTGATGATATTACATCGAGAATTTCATTTATTGTTCATGAATTCCAGGCACGTCGTGCATTGAGTGACACACTACTTCCTAAAGTTCCTGATAGTAATCAACTCGCACGAAAGTTGGTTCTTAGCAAAGCTAAATTACAGGTGGCGACTTTTGCAACAATTATTGCAGAGCCTGATCTTACAAAAACCTTTCAGGACTGCTATCGCGTATATCAACTCGCGGTTCTCTTGCAGCACATTGAGCGTGCTCTTCGTGACCTTTATGACAATGATGAGAAAAACGCATCTGCAGTCAAAGATCTTATGCTTGTTAGTATTTTCTAAGAGAACCTTAGCTAGTCGTTGAAAAAGGTGTCCACTTAGTGAGTTATAATTTGCAGGAGCCGATATGTTACGGATTATTACATTTCGATAAGTATTGTGAACTAATTCGTAGTACAATCGACGAAGAATACCATGAGAGAACAGGGGACTTCCGAATTCGACCGGACATTGACCCAGAACTGTTGCGAATTGACAAGGATATATGTTCATTAGAGAAGAAAGCGGAAATAGCTAGGACCAACGTCTGTTATTAAGTCGTTACTCGTCGCTTTAAATGCTCTAAAACTTTTTTGCAGATCGCAAAACGATTGGATCTTGAGTCAGTTAAGCTAGATTCAAATCCACAACTGGGATTCTTCTACAGAGTCACTCTTAAGGTCTGATCAAGCAACTGTTTCAAGCAGTAGTAGTATTCATTGTCTAATTTAATTGTGGTTTTCGTTTTCGTTAAATTGGGAATGTGTTGTTTAGAGGGATGCATCTTTGGGAACAGTTTGCAAGTGAAAGTTTCTGCAAATTTCACAAAATATTTGTTTAGGATGAAAAGCACATACGGAAGTGCAAATTCATCACTGTAGTCGACGCAAGCAAGGGCTCCGGAGTGAGATTTAGAGACGGAGATTTGTCGGAGATTAATGAACAGTAAGTGGATGTGGACTAATTTTAATTAAAAATACAGAAGTGCTGAACTTTGCAACGTTTTACATGTCAGTTTCCTCTTTATGATTTATTTATAGATATCAGGTGTTGACTAACATATATCGCACTGCTCAGCAAGACTTGGAGAAAAAGGTCATTGAAACATGTGGTCTGTTGGTTTCCATAATTTGTTGGAAGTTTGTGTAATCACACGCAGTACAAATTCTGTAAATTCTTGCATCATGAGCAAGTGATCTTTTTTACAACAATATATATTCTAGATGATAGCTGATGAACTCCTTGAACCGAAATACTTGGGCACTGAGATGGCCCGTTCTCAGCGGTTCTGCGGCCTCAGCACCTTCTCCATTTTTAAAGTTTTTCTGGTTTAGCCATTGTATTTCCCTGGAGTCCCGAGCTCCTGGCCGAAGTCTGCCCCAGGTCGTCATTACACAGGTCGTCGCCGATTTTGTAGATCAGAGGGAGATTTGTCACAATACGACTAGTTTGATACCACAACGGTGGTGGATCCTGCTATTAGTTTACTCATAGCTGGGCTTCCTGATAGAAACGCCGAACTCCTCAGTTTTGGGAGACCCTACCAGGGGATGAGTCCCTCGTTGTACATCGCAGCCCGACGCCCAGGAACACCTCCCAACCACAATGAGGCGGTAAACCGTTGGGAGGTGAACTGACACAGTATAGATGCTCGCCGAATATTTTGTTGAACTGTGCTACTATTTGACATGTAGGAAGAAAATACACCACCAGCTGTACCAAGTGTGGCTCCTTACACCATGGAGTATCTCGAGCGAATTAAAAAATGGTTTTTCCGAGATTCCAAATTTTTTTCTCTGCAAAGGTAAATAGTTTTGGAGTCACAAAACTGTTTATTAGCAAAAAGGCAAATTTCCGGAAGCTCGACGACTATCATACAAATTAAAGCCAGGTTCATTGTATTGAGATTTGCTAGGTACATAACTATTTCAGCCGGATATGCCCCTGCATTAAGTGGACTGAGCAATGCGTTAGCCACAATCGATGTTCTCACTAGTTTAGCTCGACTTGTAACCGATTCACCCAATGAATATGTACGCCCGACATTGGAGCCGATGGGTATGAACACAACAGTCATTGAGGAATTCGTCAACGCCAAATTTAAATTCTGGTGCTAGATGGTTTTTGCAGGAAGTGGAATATTCGAGTTGAAAAGGTGTCGCCATGCTGTTCTTGAGGCAATTCTCGACAGCCATTTTATCCCTAACAACATTGAATTCGGTTAGTGTAGTTTCTAGTGGTGTTTGTTGCCAAGAACTGATAAATTTCGAGAGTGAAAACATGTTTGAAAACAAGATAAAAACTTTTCCAAGAGACCGAGGGATTTTGGTAAGCTTCGAGCAAATGGCTTAGAAACCACGTAACTTCTTTCATATTGCGATGCTGATCCATGTCAATGTCTTTTTTCCTTTTCAGGATCAAATCGCATGATTATTGTAACTGGTGCAAACATGGGTGGAAAGAGTACTTATCTTAGATCAGCAGCAATAGCAGCGTTATTGGCACAAATCGGTAGCGCTACTTCTTCTTTATTTCGTAAATTATTATTGGATTGTGACTGTTAACGGCAGAGATCGATAGAACTACTTGAGAGAAAGGCGAAACGAAGGACTCGCATGGTGTGGTGGTGAACGCCTTACTCCCCGGAAAGGACAATAGCGCGTTCGTTCTTCACCGCAAACACCTGCGGTCCGGAGTTTTGCAAATATTTCAACATCATTGAAATTATTGGATTATCTGCAAAGTAGTCTTTTTTAGACTCTCAACTTCAGATCACTAACGGATATCTCAACTCACAGTTAATGTTAAGCTAAATAAAAACTTCTTGAATTCACATATATTCACTGACAAGGAACAAAATTGTCCCAATAAAGTAAATCTCTACGCTTCTGATACTTACGAATTTTCTCTAGGTATTTTCAGTTTACAAAACTGCTTGAAGAACTGTTATTTGGTATCAATAGTTAGATACTAGATGCCAGTTTAAAGATTCTACGTAGGCTGGATACGGCAGAGGTTCGTCTTCTGGTACTCTCAGTTTTCCAGATACCACTTAAATGATATCTGCTATGGGATTAACATGTTGGCGATTTCTTTTAGAGTTCCTGACAATATTAACAATGATGGTTTGTTCACATAATGGTCTTATTACGATTGAAGACTTTACATTGAACGGTTCCATCTGCTGAGCACAAAAAGTTGCGATTTATTTTGGTTCAAATCTGATTTTGGGATATGCCTCGGTGATCCGTATTTGCACATGTACAGGGGGATTCATCCCCCGATAGGTTTTCCGAAGTTGAGTCCGACGTTTCCATCAGAAATCCTAGTTAAGAATAAACCAATAACAGGATCGACCACCGTCCTGGTGTCAAACTAGTCGCATGCTGGCTCATCTGATCCACAAGAGTGGCGACTGCCGGTGATAATGACGAACTGGGGCAGACTAGCCAGACTGACCTCGGGACTGCAGAGAACCACAATGGCTAAGCAAGCAGAACTCCGAAAAATGGAGATAATCATGCTGGAGCTCGCATAACCAGTGACGACTAGCCGTCCACGTATCCAAGTATGATTCGTCTTTGTACAAAGTGTGGAATCCGCCGTATTTCACAATGTGATCAAATATTTGAGATTTTTTTTTCCGCGTAACAGAAAATAGAGCAAACTCCTATGAACAAATTTCCTTACCAGTTCAATCCACTGGCACCATTTTTTGAGTTGCCTTCACTTTCCTTTTCTTCGAGCGAATGTTTAAACTTATGCATAGGTTTTGTGCAAGCTCTCCTAATGGTAAAACATGTTCTGTAGTGCTATCGAGTTCATTGACCTCGGTAGTAAAATAATCAAAATGTTTTAAATTATTAAGCTTGCACGAAGTTGATAAATAACTTTTATTCGGCTAACTTTTCGACGTCTTCGTCTTCATCAGAGCCGATGATCCAAGTCGATGGCCCGCAGCTGTCTTCTGGATATGGCGTTTTCATAGTCGTATCGAGACGGATCTTCTTTAGTGGAACACCGCACGAATGAGGCATGCTCACCCGGCAATGCTCCTTTATACAAGGAGAGAAGACAAACAACTGTGGACCATCGACTCGGATCATCGGCTCTGTTGCAGACGAAGATGTCGAGACGTTGGCCGAATAAAAGCTATTTATCAACTTCGTGCAAGCTCGACAATTTAAGCACATGTTGAAAACAATATCAGTGTTTGAAAAAACGAAATAGACAGTAACTTATGGGCGATGTATTATGGTAACCATGGGGGCTAAAATGCTTAATTGAAGGTAGCTTTGTGCCTGCATCGTCCATGCGGATGTCAGTGTTGGATGGTATTTTCACCCGCATCGGTGCAAGTGATCAACAAACGAAAGGAATCTCTACGTTCATGGCTGAAATGTTAGATAGTGCAAATATTTTAGAGGTTTGGTAGTTCACCATTTATGTAGAGGTGATGGGACGACATTCGCCAAGTAGCTGGCGATCATGAACATCTTTTTATCGCTACTATTTTCGTGTTTGCTACGTACTAAGTGCTCAAAAAGTATAGTCATGCATGAGGAAATCATTTCTGTGCACCTTAAACATTTTTAATTTCTTAGACGGCAACTTCAAATTCTTTGGTTGTCATTGATGAACTGGGAAGAGGAACATCAACGTATGATGGATTTGGTCTAGCGTGGTCTATAGCAAAGTAGAGTTTTGTTGTTCTGATTTCTTAAATCCTTTGCGCTACGGTTTCAGTTTGTTTCTTCAGCGACCTTCTATCACGAGTGCGTTGTTTCTGCCTATTCGCGACCCATTTTCACGAGATGGGAGCTCTTGCAGAACATCCTGGTGCGACTTCACTGCAGGTATAATCTAACACTACGAATTCTTGGTTATCTCCGACTTATTGGTTCTGGTTGCATCAGCCGTTGAGAGAATATTTGCTCACTGTGGTCTTGTCCAGAAGGAAGCATTACACATCGTTTCAATATCTTCATAAGAAAGCTTGAGTGCAATTCATTGATCCACCTGAAGTGATTAGTTCCAAGAACCATTCTTTTAAACGTGTGATAAACAACGGTGCTTTGCCATCCTGCTTACATAACTCTCAAGTACCCGTAGCACATAGGGCAGAAGTGTCAGTACACATTATAATACATGGATGTAAAGGGCGACATGAACAACACCGGCATGAGTGGTATATGATTTATGCCTAGAGGGCATAGTTATCGACATAAATTACGACTCATAGCCCTGCTGGATGTTTCTTTTGCCGTAAGAAGCCTTTTCTCCTTAATTTTCGTATTAAGTTGAAAGCTTCCCAACCATGGATATCCTTTTGTCTGCTAAAAAAAAGCGATTTTCTGCAGTTTATGACTTCCCAATGAAATTTTCATGGGAATTTGCTCCCATCCTATGAGACCTACTACTCAGATGAGCACGCATGGTGCGCTCTCATCCATGTTCCTTGTCAAATATATCTTGTAAATCACAAGTTTTCAACTCCATCATACTCAAATGAATTCGTTTTGAAATTCAAACTTTTACATTTAACACTTCTATCTACTCCTTTCAATCATTAGGAGCTTATAAGTTGTACTTTCTGTAATGGTTTTTAGAAAAAAACCAAACGGAAATATTCCCTTAGATTTTATAGCTTACACAAGGATGTAATAAATGTAGTAAAAATTTATTCCGCTAACGTTTCGAGGAGTTTGCCTTCTTCAAATCCGGATTGCTCGAAATCAATTGTCCACAGCAGTCTATTCTCGCAATGTCGGTCTTCCCTGTCACATCGAATCCGGCTTACTTTAGTGGTGCGCTGCTGAAATGATGTCCTCATTTGACAGTGCCATACACGACCGTTGTTAATTGAATAATTTGTTTTTTTTCGGACAAACCATCCTGTATCGGTTGGTATTAAATTAGAATGTTATGTTGGGTGAAGTAATAAATAGATGCAAAAGTCTTACGGAGGGATCACATGGTCCGGCAGCTGTAATCTGTTGAACGAACTAATACCATGGATTTCATGACTTTCAAGCAACAATGTAGAGGATTTCTTAAGCTTAATTATGACTATTGATTGCAAGAAATTATTGTCGCTTTCTATAGGGTCATTGCTAGTGATGTACACATTCTTTACAAACCATGGTCCATCTGCAGCTAATCCTAGTTGGATTCATTTTTCAAGCAGTCTTGTTTTACAGATGTCAGTTGCCGTAGATGATGGGCGCCTAACGATGCTGTATGAAGTACGTCCCGGTGTAGCTCAAAGCTCATTTGGAATTCATGTCTCGCGAACTGTTGGTTTTCCAGACAGCATTGTTGAGGTTAGATAATACATGACTTGAATCGGCTAAGAAACCGGAAACTTTAAGAGAAAACTGGTATGTTTCTTCTTAAAAATCTCTATCTTTCAAAATGAAGGAAGCATCTCGAATTCTGGAAGAGTTGGAGAGTTCGGCAAGTGAGGCTGAAATAGATGAAGTGATTATGAAGCTCAAGACGGCAGATGATGACCGCTTGGTACAGATTCTAACATGATCTCTTTTACCTATTCACCATAGACTACTGAATTTCACAATAATGTGACCAGAAATTCCCATCTGGAGCCTGATTTTACACACTATCATCAGGGATTGATCCTTTCCTCTGTGTTTCACAATTTCTAAGCTTATTACATGTTTCTCATGACCTCCATATTTTTGAAGGTGTATCACATCTCAACGTATATTTACGGTTTTGTACCATTACTAAAAGGGTAACTTAAGTCCATCTCATGTTTTTCTTCATAGGAAAGTACTATGATTGTGAATTTAGTGGTACTTCCATATTTTCTACATATTCGTACCATTGGAAGCTATACTGTCCTTGTTTTTGAGATTAATTTGTTGTATAATACATTCTATAAACTTTTTCCCGTCACTGTTTTTCTGGGAATTCTAGACTGGTGCCTAAATAAACTCCAGCTATTGAGTGGCATATCATGGCAGCCATATTGAATGGCGGGCATAGATAAACAAACCTCCTGTGTAAAAGGACTCACTGAGTGAAGAAGCTTGACTCCAGCGGTGCTTCACTCAAGAAGAATCGATTCAACACGACTACGTAGACCTCCATCGTGAAGACGAACGACCGTGGACCATCAACTCGAACCGCTGCCAAGAAGAAGACGTAAAGACGTTAGCCGAATAAAAGTTGATATAACAACTCCTTATTAGCTTAGTTTGTTAAAAAAAAAAAAACTACTGGGCAGACATGCCGAGGTTAAAAGTCAGTTTTTACAAAACTTGAGCTATTTCTGTACATTAGCCTATAGAAGTCCTGTTGATATGCACTGATAGTAATCTTAACTCTTTTATTTACTGCCTTTTTCTTCTTAATGGCAGGTTATGTTTCGAATTATAACTCGTATGAAATGCTGAGATATTTGCAAAACTCTCGACCGCAGGTGTATGCGGTGGGGAACGAACGCGCGCTATTGTCCTTTCCGGGGAGTAGCGCACTTCACCACCACACCATCCGGGATTGTGATTATAACAAGCCTCAGCTTAACTGGGTTCAATGCCGATTTGGGCTCCCCAGATCAATCCCGTTTACGGGTGATTGCTGATGGCAAAAGATCAATAGAACTAGCTGAGAGACAGGCAAAACGAAGGACCCGGATGGTGTGGTGGTGAAGTGCGCTACTCCCCGGAAAAGACAGCGTGCGTTCGTTCCCCGCCGCATACACCTACGGTCCGGAATTTTGCAAATATCTCAGCATTATATACGAGTTATACTCCACAACATACCTTGCCATTAAAAAGAAAAAGCAGTAAATAAAAGGGTTAGTCAAGAGTAAGGTTCAAGTCAATTCCCTTACTAGAAAGCTTGTTAAAATCTCTAAATTGAATACTAAAACTAATATTTCATTTTTTTCGAATCGAACACACCTTGATTAGCCGATGAAGAGTACTACTTTTAAGAATGGCACAACGAACGAAAATGTTTAAAAATCAATAACAAACTTGCGAAGGAAGACTTTCCTCTCCAACTCCGTATAGTCGTGTCCTTGACCATCGACTGGACTGAATGGGCGCCAGATAATCGACCAACATTATCTTTCAGAACTTGTGGCCTCCATAAAATACGTAAAGACCAAAAGAACATCAAGTCAGAGCAGCGGAGTTACCTGTGCTATGGCTTGTTCACCCATCCATCGATCATCATGCGACCTTATTAAACCGCTTCCCCTTTCCCTGAGGTGAACGCCATGTTGAATTCTCAACTCATATACATAGATAGACGATATTCGGTATTCGCTTCACCTGTTGTGAATTAGGTTTGAGTAAATTTTAGCCTTTCACTAGTAGTACTGCTCTAACTGGTAAACGAACGCCACAGTACGACACAGTATTGCCAAAGTTGTTCACCCTCGTGTTACAGTGCTACACACAATTATTCCAGTAGGACAAAAATGGGCGGCTCAAAAACACGCTCCGCCTACGAAATTATTATCCCCTCCCACAACAGAAGCAGAAATAAAGCTTACCGAATGAAACAGAGAACAATGCACGATCACGGATCAGTCGGAAGAAAACTTTTCAGGAACACGTGATGTAAAAGAGAATAGGGAAATGTTTAATGAATACGGAATAATGATTTGAAATAGGAACACAGCAGAAGGCAACGAGCGGCGTGATCCGCCATCGAGCCTCTAACGCAGGCCACTGAACTTACTGACTGTGACATATGTGTACACTTATTTCACTCAATTCTTCAAGATCTGTGCTCTGTAGCAAAAGATAGTTCGATATGTTTCAGATAAGGTTCGTCACGTCCAAAAAGTTCCGCAGCATACAAAAAGCACTCGAGCGATGGAATCTAAGGGTGAAGTATTGCATCCCATATCAAGTCGGTCTTCGTAGTTTATATTTCCAAAGACTGACCCATCTTCAAAGCAAAGCTTCAAACCTTCGCATCAGCTCACCTTGATCAGTTCATAAGGACATATAAATAAATAAATATACCGATTATTTATGCCGAGGTTTAAATAAAGTTGATCTTTTGAGTTCCTTCCTGTTCGTCCTTCTTTTCAAGCCCTTGATTTAGAGGAACCTTTGAATCATCAGTTATGTCTGGTGTCTCGCGTGGATATGTATCTCTCTCCCAGCTCAGAGGTATAATTAAATTAACGGTGTTGTAATGATGTATCTGTTATGTGGTCTAACATATGTTTCTCGTATAACTCCGGTCTCTGACTGTTGGAACTTGATGATGCAAACCCATTTTCCAGGTACTTCGAGGTAAGATTGATTTGTTAGCTAATGCTACTACGCCTAGAGTTGGGGTAGTTGTGGTGCCTTATTTTCGTCGATATTGAGCTGAGGAGTTCTTGAAGAATGAGTCTTAAAGAACACACATGCTGCCTGATGCCAAGATAGTTACGTTGGTTAGTTCCATGAATAAGAATAATAATGGGAACAATAGAATACGTAGCATAGTGGGATGCACTTCGTGGCCTCAGCTGACAGAACCGAATAATCACTTAGCTTAACCTGGAATACTCATCTGCATACGAATTTTTCACGCACGGCTTTTCTTTCTTGTCACAGAGGGAGTTTCAAACTTGGGTAACTAAATCTTTACATGCAGCAATATTAATGCAACAATTACGGGACAGTGAGATTAGCATGGCAGAAGGCACATGCAGGATTGAAGTTTCTTTAACACATCAGTGATTAATTGACCAGTGATATACGTGACATATAACAGTGACTAAGACTGCTTATGTCCAAAGAGAGCCTAAAAATCTATAAACCTAAACTCTACTACACGAAGTGAAGCAGTAAGAAGTAGATGATTACTGCACGGACAAGGATGCTAATCGAACGAATAGGATGATGAGTAGTGCAGTCGTTTACACTCATTTTGAAGTGGGCGTGGTTTTGTTGTAGCTTCTAAGTTTCTTGGAAAGTGCAAGTTGACCGTCACCTAGTCATCATGTGTAAATGCCGGACAGAGGGCGGTTCTTACAAAGATGTTTCTATTGCAGGGAAAGCTCACTAGATTAACATGGGAAGGTTTACAGAGAGATTTAAACTAGAAGGTCGTTAAGCAATAGAAGGCAACAATAAATGTCGTTAACAGCTAACACAGTTAGCAAAGGAAACGTGCGGTAACGTGGAAAAGTAAACGAAAAACAATTCGGGGTACTTGCTATAATGGTGGATGGTGATCCTTGCTTTTACTTTTTACTAGTCTTCTAGATAGAAACTTCCAGAAAGTAGGAAGGTGAATACCGCACTGTACTTAACTATTAGATACCCTATAACAATAAAAAAACCTCTCGGCGTTGATCAATCCCTGAGGGATGCGCCATGCACTAGACTTCATTAAAAATCGCTGGAGGTGACTAAATACATATTTGGTCTTTACAATGACTCACGGTGGCCTACCGATGTATCGAGCCAGTGCTGCTATCCCACCAGACAAGTGGTACCAATTTGCCGACCCCGGAGGGATGGAAGGCTTGGTAAACCATGGGCGCGATGATCGATTCCATGTGTGTTGAAAGGCGCCTCCGACCACTGAGTCACACCCTAGAACAATACCCTACCAAAACATGGCCTTAGACTAGTGCGGTAGGAGAAGTTTACCTTTTAACATTTATTATGTACCACGTCACTGAAATGTTTCTTTGAGAAGCTTCTTCCTTATTCGCATGCAACAAGCTCTGATTCTCCGTCGATCTACGAAGAAACCGTTATTTTTAACCTCACTTTGTATTGAAACAGCAGAGGCTCTGTTGACACAACTAGACATAGTAATAGTCTTTAGTCTCTTCGCACTTTGAAGAACAAAAATTCTGGCGTATGTCGCTACAAATTTCCGTCCGTGCATAACACACAAGTCTAATAGTTCTGAGGAATTTGTTACTCATGATGAGTCACAGTCCCAGAAAAAACACTCTTTGTCACGCGTGTGTTACAAGTTACTAAACACAGGCAATTACTATTAGTTAACTGAACAAGTTGAAGTACCGAACTTACTAAGGCAAAAACAGAGTCCAGGGCTAATACTGTACGCCTGGCTTATCTAAAAGTTAAAAAGGATAATCTAAGAACGAAGTGGAAACAGAAGTCCTAACATTACAGTAACCACAGAATGTAGGTTTTCGTCATGCTAATGAGATAAACAATACGGAACAATCCTCATTAGGAAGAGGACTTGGAGTAAAATTGTTAAGCATTGTCTTCACCGTTTTTATTTTACTGCTTACTCTTTTTAATGGCAAAGTACATTGCGAAATATAACTTCAATGACGCCGAAATATTTGCGAAACTCCGGACCGCAGGTGTCTGCGGTGGGGAACGAACGCTATATTGTCCAAAGTCAATATCCTTGCACAGGAGTCCAAAACACCAGCGCGAAAACTCTTTGAGGCTTTTTTGATAAATGCCAAAAACCCTATAATGAATAGAAGGGATGAATGCCCGGAGGTCATACACGACCTGATCCCGTATGTTCGTATCTATTTTTGATGTGGGATGGTGCAGTCGTCAACCATATGCGACTATAATTAGCTGTTCTAAACTTCCTCATTGAAAGTCACCAAAAAGCGGTGGGTTTTTTCGAGAAGTTGCTGATCATGTAATTACCGGAGAGTTTTTCGTCTTTTTGTAAGCGCTATTGAAGCGTTTGGCCTAGTAGATTGTATATCAGCATACCCTTCCAGGCTCTGAAGAAGGCGATACTGCCGAAACGTCAGCTAGCGTTGTATCGGATTGTTTTTCTATGGAAGTAAATGTATGCTGTTTAACAACCTCGCGATTGCTGAACAAGAAAACAACACATTCATATTCCAATGCCGAGGTTAAGAGAAAGTCGATCCTGGGAGCTATATTGTCCTTTCTGGGGAGTAACGCGTTCACCACCACACCATGCAGGTCCTTCGTTTGGCCTGTCTCTTAGCTATTTCTATCGATCACTTGCCATCAGCAATCACCCGTCAGCGGGAGTGGTCTGGGAAGCCCAAATCGGTAATGAACCCAGTTAAGCTGAGGCTTCAGTTATAATCACATTTTTTTTATTGCTGATGGCAGAGATCGATAGAAATAGCTGAGAGACAGGCGAACCAAAAGACCTGCATGGTGTGGTGGTGAAAGCGTTAATCCCCGGAAAGGACAATATCGCGTTCGTTCCCCACCGCAGACACCTGCGGTCTGGAGTTTTGCAAATATCTCAGCATCATTGAAGTTAAGCATTGTTATGGTACTTTGATTTACGTTTGAAGGCAGAGAAAAACTGCTTCTAGGCCCATTTACACTGGAGGTCCATTGTACGGGTACTTCTTTCAAACTGGCTGGTCTTTCTATTTTCGAATCCGCTTAGTAAAACAACTATTAGTTGGAAATAACAAAAAAGAACAACGTCTGCATGAAACGGAACTAAATAGAAAACTTAGCTTAAAAAAGAAGAGATCTCCTAACCTCCCAATGGATATTTTCTAAAGCACTTCATTCTCTGCATTAAGAAAGTACACAATCACGCCAGACAAAGGAGAATTCTCTGTAACTGAAGGAATTCAGAGCGTCACAGGTGCTCTAAAACGGAACCTGTTGACAATAGACTACGAGGATAAATATTGCCATCAACATTTGGCTTAGGAGTTTCATAAGGAAAGAACTAAAACAGTGCTCTTCTCTTGCGTGCAAATCATATTTAAACGAAATCCGCTCTCTGGTTCTTTAAATCTTGAAGCGATGTACCCTAATGAGACAGAACAAACGGATAGCATCGCCATCAATACGTAGACAGTTATGAAACAGGTGCTGATCATCTTCGTAAGCTGGAGGAGGTGTAGCGAGTCTTCCGAAGAATGAGGAACAATGGGCAGGAGCTGGAGGAAGTGTAGCGAATGTTTCGAGGAATGAGGAACAATCATATTTGAAATACAACGTGAACAGGAAATGATCGCCAGTTAAGTTGGACTTGATAAGAGAACATATTGCTTCACAAGAGATTTGCAATATTGAAAACAGAACTGGAACTTAAGGAATATGAAGCCAAATGCCAGTAACGGATGCTATACTGTGCGAAAAATATGAAACTCTCATGGACCTGGCTGGAACCAGCGGCAAATGTGCTCTAATCGATCAGCTTGGGGCGGGGTACGATCGGATTTCGGAAATCGCCGTTCATCACTAATTGGATCTGAGAGAGGGGGGTTTGTTGCTTGGGTTTAGGTTGCGGCCTTTGCTTTCATTCTTATGTGACTCCTCGGGGTCATGTTATTCCTTGTTATGGTCGCATTACCCATAATATCTTCTTTTTTGTCACGTTATGATGGAGTAATAGTTGTGAATCGTACTGAAGTACTAGTTTTTCTTCTATCGTTAATGTTAGGGGAATAAATGCCTCGTAGTTTTAGACTTGTTTAGGGAAATGGCTCTTGTTGGGATCGACTTTCGTGCTCCGCTAAGGGAAGTGAAGAGAGTTCAGTTTGGAATCTTAGGCCCCGATGAAATCGTAGGTTTGATCATTCTTCGGTTTTCGTATTCCAACTGAGAATAAGCGTATTCACTTTGAGAAGCGTATGTCGGTTGGAGAAATAGAATTCCCAGAAATTTATGAAAATGGGAAACCAAAGAAAGGTGGCTTGATGGATCCTCGTCAAGGAGTTATAGACCGAAGAGGACGGTTTGTCCCTTTCGCATATTGGCTTTCCAGTCTTCATATATTTCTTCTCTGATGGTGCTTCTGAATTTACAAACAGTTTTCAGTTGCATGACATGTGCTGGTAATTTGGCCGACTGTCCCGGTCATTTTGCTCATTTGGAGCTTGCAAGACCTGTGTTCCACGTAGGATTCCTATCGAAAATCCTGAAGGTTATTAGTTTTTCCTCCTCTTTCCTCATGCTGTTATTGTTCACACTATCATTGACGTTTTTATTCTTTATTGCTTATAAGGTGAATTTGTTACATTTAGATTCTTCGTTGTGTTTGCTTTTACTGTAGTAAGTTGCTTCTGGACAAAGACAATCAACGTGTCAAAGAAATCATCAGAAAGACGCAAGGTACAGTAATTATTATAATGAATTAATTAATAGTAATTAGCAATTAGTTTTAGAGGTTAAGGGGAATAGAAATGCAGTGGAGAAAATTCTTTTTCTAAGGAAATCCTCGGCGTCGACTAACCCTTATCTACGATATGTGCAAGTCAAAAGTAGTTTGTGATGGCGGAAATGAGATTGAGAGTCAAACTGTGGAGGTTGGTCTTTCTCATATCTTTTTTTATTTTTATTCGATCGTTTATTTGTGTGGCAGTTTTTTGAAAATTTCCTTGCAATTCATTGAAGGATGGAGATGATGGTGAAAAAGTTATTAAAGCAAGTGGTTGTGGGCGATATCAGCCCTCATATCGTCGTGCAGGAATCGATATCAATGCAGAATGGAAAAAGAATGTTAACGAAGACACGCAGGTAATTTAGCCGCTAGGAATTTATTATGCTTTTGTAAAAACCACAAAACTGGATTGTATAGGGGTGACCGGTGAAGTTGCAAGTCCTGCTCTTTGAATTGTAGTTCTTAACTTGAACCTCAGCCAAGTTTAGCATAGATACTTTTATACTATTTATATTTGTATGATAGAACCTATAGATCATTAAAATTGCTGAGAGAAAAGGGAGAAGAAAGACTGGCATGGTGTGGTGGTGAACGCGTTATCCTCCGGAATGGGTAGTAACTTGTTCGTTCGTCACCGCAGACACCAGCGGTCCGGAGTTTTGCAAATATCTCAGCATCATTATGGTTATGCTTTTTGTGCTCTTAAACTTGTTTTTGGTCGTGTTTCTATCTTCCACCACTTCTTAGTAGATCGTTCTTATTGTTTTTTGAAGTGAATGTTCTTAGAAATGGTATACTTGACGATGATAACAAGCAGTAAGAATTTTAGGAACGTAAAATTTTCCTAACCGCCGAACGAACTCTAGAAATTTTCAAACAGATTTCTGACGAAGATTGCATGATTCTAGGTGGGTATTAAGAGCTAATAATTTTTGTTCGTCAAACATTTTAAAGATGCAAACATTGTGTTTATTGGTGTTAATAGGCATGGATCCAAGATTTGCTCGTCCCGACTGGATGATTTGCACCGTCCTTCCCGTTCCGCCACTAGCAGTTCGTCCAGCTGTGGTTACCTTTGGGTCTGCGAGAAACCAAGATGATTTAACGCACAAACTCTCTGACATTATTAAAACCAACATCCAGCTAAGAAAGTTAGTAATTTTTCACTTTTTTCTTTTGTTGTCTTTACATTAGTTTAAAATCTTATTTTCTAGCAATGAGGCGAATGGTGCTGCTGCCCACGTGTTAGCAGACGACGTGAAGCTACTCCAGTATCACGTTGCTACACTTGTAGATAATTGTATTCCTGGACTTCCGACGGTTAGTTAGAACATGAGTATAGCCTCGAGTTGTTCATTATGGCATCATTAATAGGCTACACAAAAAGGTGGAAGGCCGTTAAAGTCAATCAAGCAACGTCTGAAAGGAAAAGAAGGGAGGATTCGGGGGAATCTTATGGGTGAGTACTTCGATAATTTTTTAACTTCATTCTCATCTTCCGTCTTAGTTGTATATCAATGTGGTTCTACGTTACGAGCATGCCAGCATTTCTCGTCGTTACGCATTGTTTGCAATGCATGCGACCTGAAATTAATCACCTTTTGGTCTAAAGCGATCAAGACTTGAGACGGCTTATCACTTGCGCCACCTGTCGTCCCATTGATCGTCTAATAACTTAAGCGGCGCCAGTAAATTTTCGTTTCTCCCTATCGCGTGCAAGAGTAGCCCGGAGGGTTCTTCTCGCTCTAAGGACTTGTTGAGCATCAATCAAACCTTCTAGGATCTTTGTGAAGAACTCTGACCATAGAGTTGGTGCTCTTGCTGCTGTATTATTGACACCCAGAGTTCAGTAACTAACTGGTGGTGTCCATTGGTTGTCATTCACACGCATTACGTGTTCGAAACATCTTATCTTCGACAGTAACTGCCACGACCGACTTTCTATTAACCTCGGCATTGATCAAGTGATTTTGTTCGTATTTTTTTGAGCAAACGC